CACCCTTGTTTTATAGGTCTTGGGAACTGACCATATCTTGTTCCTAGAATATTGAATTTGACCATATTAACCACAGAAAGGCTCTTAGTGTTCTTTACTGAGCATTTTAAGTGTTGGTTTTTGCCTCAGTATATCCTTCATATGTTTACATCTTGTTTTGAGGAAAATTTATATTTGAAAACTGAACTGGTATGATTTGTTAAAATGATAACATTCATTTATGAAAGTTAGCAATTTGTTCTGCCTTCTGTTTCAAATGTATATATGTATTATCACAAGGCAATGGCCGACTAAGAAGACAATTTCCATTAATAAAGTAATTCTTTCCTTCACTATGTTTATTATTCTTTAATTAAAATATTGATTTCTTTCTAAATGCTTACCTTGGGAACAGTAGAAATGTTATTGAAATATACACCTTTAAGTTTATCTTAGTTAATAAAATAGCAATAAGGTTGATAGTTTGAAGCTCTTTTTGCAAATAATTGATTATTTAAAAATTGCCTAATTTGTATACACTGGTGGGTTTATAGTACTTTTCTGTGAATATATACATTTAGGTCAGAGCTTCTTAACCTGTAATGCATGTTTTTTAAGAATTTCTAGGGAATTTCATGGAGGAAGTTCATAGTTGGAACTTCAAGAGTAGAAATTTAATTCTCTCAAACTTTGAAATTGTGTGTGCAGCTACATGAGTGTGTCTGTATGCATGTGCACACGAATGTGGGAGAACATCTATAGCTGTTATCAAGGGATCCATAATCCAAAAGGAGTAAGCATTAGTGATTTAGGGTATCATGCAGAACTCTTATGAAAAATCATTTAGCCAAAAAAAAACCCTTTAAAAATAATTGAGTTTTTACACAATAATTATGGTTTTTTTTCTATTACTAAATTAATTTTAACAGAGGTTACAAGAAACACAATTTAGTTTAAAAATAAACAACTTTTAATAATATATTTCCAATTTTAAAGAGTTTAAGGAATAACCAAAAAATATAGCTTTTTCATTGTAATATAATATATAACATTATATTAGTTCAACATACACAACATAATGAATCGCTATTTGCCTATACTGTGAAATGATCACCATAATAAGTCCAGTTAACAACCATTACTGCACAGTTATAATTTCTTTCTTGTGATGAAAACCTTTATACATTTGTATTCTTTCTTTTCTTTAAGAATTGAACACGTAGGAGTGAAAAACCTCTCATTTTTATACTAATTATTAAGAAAACAGTATACCTTGTTCACTGACAGCATTCATAGATAAAGACTTAGTTTGGGGTTTTGCTTTTGTTCCAAGAGAGAGGTGGTATTAGTGCTGTGGTCGAGGAGGGTGAGAGCCAGGACTCTGAGGTCAAACAGATTAAATTTGATTAAATTTATCTACTCTACAATTTATTAGTCATACAGTTTCGGGAATTTATTCAGTCTCTGTGCCTCAGTTTCTCCAGCTATGAAATGCAATAAAAATTAGGCTTGATCTGAGACTTAACTAAGTTGGTGCATACAAGTCATTGTAAACAGTGCCTGACACAAAGTAAGTATTCAATCAATATTGGATATTATTCTTAGCAATTATAGTCTGGTAGGCTGGCTATTAAATGTAATGTTTTTACTACCCTGTATTAATTTAATTTCAGTTATAGGGCCCAAAGTAAGCATGTAATGAGTTTCTTGAGGCCAGACGTCAATGATGAATGCCATTTGGACAATAAAAGGGATACATATATCTGGCTGAGTCACATATAACCTCTTTTTCCCCCCCCAAATGAGTTCATTCTTTTTAATCACCGCATTATTTAAACTAAAATTTGGATATTAAAGTTGAAATAATATTTCTCTCAGTGTTCATAGCAAAATGCTGTCTTTAGAACTAATGAGCAAGATATGCATTTTTAAAAAGGTATTTTAATGAGGATAGATACATTAGGAAGACCCTTTCCTTTCTCATGGTTGCAGAGATGACAAAGAGAGAAAAATTAAGTAAAGCCCGTTCAACAATAACAAAAGATTATCAACTACATTCTATAAGTTTACAATCCATTTTTTTTATCAGTAGACTTTAGAAGTCATATCATTCTGAGATCTCTTCTGCAAAATATTGAGTCTTGTCCTTATAGTTCATAAAACTTGATTGAACATATATTGCTGGTCTGTACCACTGCTGCCATTCTGGTTGTTCACATGCCAGAGAGACATGCAGTCGTTATTTCAGGGGTGGTAAATGCAATCTCAGGGAAGAAACTGAAAAAAATGTAGGACTTCCTTGACTGAAGACTGCCAGCACTCCTTAACAAGCCACTCACCATGCAAATGAACAATGCAGCCCCACGCAGAAACATCTGCTAACCCATAAAACTGTTAAAGGGATTAACAGTGCCAGAGGCTAAAATGTAATCAGACAGGTGAAATAGTGATAAGATAAATATTCCTGCGTGAAATTGCAATGTTTAATTTACTTATTTTTATACTGTGGGGTAACTGAGTGTAGAGTTCTTGTGAAATATATTATACTCTTTAAAATATGCCCTCCCACTTTGCAAGGTGTAGAGAATTAGAAACATGCAAAATAGGAAGTTATTGCATTTTATATTAACTTAAAATATTTTCTGATATTTTAATGGACTTAATTGCACACAGTTTGGGTTTCATTCTCTTTATCCATGGATGAAGCAATAGAAAGATGTATGTAATTTTCAATTATGGTGAGTGAAGTTCAGCTGCCAAATTCTTGTTTGGAAAGTTTGTCATCAGATAATGTGAAAACAGAGAATAAAATAGAAATGTTCAAAGTGTAGCTAAAACTGGAATGTTTCTGCCTCTGACCCTGGAAATAAATGAGAAGAAAAATCCATAAGAAATGAGTATAGGCTTTTTTTCTATGTCCTGGTATGCATATTAAACTGAGCTGTGTGTTTTATGGGCCATTCATAAAAACATTCCTTCGTTTACTGAATGAATTTGTGATTGCTCTGTGTGTGTGTGTGTGTGTGTGTGTGTGTGTGTGTGTGTTTATGCATTTGCTTGTATTTATGTGTAGCTTTTAATAAATGATTCCAGAGCTGTACCTTCACTTAGCCTTCAGGGGCTTGTAATTATTACATTATGCATATTGATTTCTAAATCCAAGTACATTATATGCTAAGATCCATCTATGACAGTAGTGTCTATAGAATATTCATTCAAGACACAATAATTATCAGAGGCATGTTCTGTACTATTTGTAAGAAGTGGAAACCAATTTTGGGTTTAGAATTATAATTTCAAAGATTCTATTAGCATACTTTTTTTTTTTTTTTTTTTTTTTTTTTTTTTTTTTTTC